GGAGGGGGGAGACACCCACCTGGTGGTGAGGAGGGTGAGGGGGGAGACACCCACCTGATGGTGAGGAGGGTGAGGTGTGGGGAGACACCCACCTGGTGGTGAGGAGGGGGAGGGAGGAGACACCCACCTGGTGGTTAGGGAAGGCTGCTCACTGCCCTGGATGTGGATCGTGCTGAGCTCTTGCATGCTGCGCAGGCGGGTGGCTGGCAGGTTGGAGTTGGGCAGGTGCGTAGTCTTCTTAGTACGGCGGGAGCAGCAGGTGGTCGTGAGGCCCTGATGACTGGACAGGGAGGGGCTTCTCGTGGATGGGTAGTTCTGCATTGAGCTCTCCATGCAGTTCTGCTCGAACATCTGCTCATCAATAAACTCATGGTTCTGTGGGAGGCAGAAGGAGGAGACGTAGTAAAGGAAGTGAGGTGGGGGTGGAGCCCTGCTCTCTGAGGTGCCGCCTATCTGTGTTCTGGGCCTTGAAGGAAGGGCTCCCAACGCCTGGAGCACAGAGAAGCATTCAGGAGGGGTGAGAGCTCACACATACTGAATGAGAAGAGGAGTCATCTTGGCAGCCCTGGCCATCAGATTGTAGCATGGGGACTGCATTTGCTTAACACAAAACTTCAACCTAAAGGTATGCAGATGACTTAGAGGGATTTAGTGTATCCTTAGAGCTAGAAGAAAGGGCTGTCTTTACACGTTGCCACAAATGAGGGCTGTGAGAGGGGGAGAAATGTGTTTCTAAGCAATTTAAAAGTGTGCGGCAACGTGTTAACCTACGTGAAGCTTATTGAGAGTCAATGAGTGAGCAGTGGGCATACTAGATTGTCTTTTTTGTGTTTAATGAGAGAGATCCTTGTGAGTCTTGGGTAAAGGTGAGACACAAGGTTTTAAAGGCACTGGGTTACTCATGGAATCGGGATGGTGGTCAATGGGGTCAAATTAAGGGACGATGGGATCATACTGTCAGGGATATTATTTTAATTTTTTCTTTTCTAATTATGGGACATGGATACTTTACTATACTTGAAGGCATAGGATTCTCAAAGTCAAGTGTAAGAATGGGAAAGGAATGCTAACACCTCCTGAGTGGAAGTCATGGAGGAGGCGTAGCTGCACCTGAGAGAACGGAAATGTGACTGATCACAGTGGCTAAAACTATAAGGGCGCTAACGGCCTGGCCAAGGCTGCCAGAGGGGAAAGGCTGCAGAGAAGGAGCTTGAGAGAACAGAGGTCAGAGGGACCAGCCCTGACAGCCAATCCCAGGAAAACCCATGGAGCTGGGGAGGTGGCACACACGGGCTGAGGCATAAGGACCCTCACAGAATACCTACAGGGGTGCCATCTTCCACCACCCCTCCAAGCCCCTGGGCAGGTCAAAAGAGGGCACTGGAAAGGCAGTTGGGTAATTCAGCGCAGGGAACTGGAGCCTGGTCTGGTGTTGGGTGTGGCAGCAGAGGAAGGATAAGCCCCGGAAGAATCAACAGCACATGCACAGAAACTAGACCAGAGGATAAAAAGAGGAGAATCCACAGACTCAGAGGAATCAGAGAGAAAGACATCAATTGAATTTTTAAAAAGTTATACCTTGATGGTTGAGGTTCGTACAGATAACAGGGGATCATCCACAAGATAGGACAACCCCTACAGGACAACATGCCAACAGAAGATAAAAACACCATTGATTGTACATTCCAGCATTCCCAAGCTCAGTTCTGACATTCACGCTCTCAATCCCTGCATTCCACCCTTTGTGTCCAACATACCATCCATCCCTTATTCCCAGCATTCTGTTTCTTCAGTCCCCGCATTCCACCCGTTGGCTCCAACATGACCTTGCTCAAACCCCACATTCCACTCCCATAAATCTGCCTTTTCAATCCCAACATTCCCTTGAGTCCAACATTCCTCTTCTAAAATTCAGCATTCCATTTTTTTAATCCCAATCCCCCAAACTGCAATCCAACATTCTTGCCCTCAAATTCAGCATTCCACCCCTCAATGACAGCATTCCATCCCTCAATTCCAAAATCCCATTTCCTCAGTGCCAGCATTCCAGCCCCACTATTTTCACACGTCTTTCAATTTGCACATTCCACCCAACACATGCAACTTGGAAGGGCAGTTGGGGCCAGGCCTGTCCCTTAGGCACTTCTCCAAGTCTTTGAAATGAATGCTAGCTAGCTATGCACATGCAGTTCTTAAAGCTAGGTGATACTGGATGAGTCTTGGAAACTACACTGAGAACCTCCCCACTTTGGAAGTCCTCACTGGTTTCATCTGCCACCCACAATATCCACACTGGGCTCAGATTAAGTAAGAGTCATTTGACATCTACTCAGGTGCATCTGGGAGGCCAAGGTAATGAACATTCAGAGTTAGAAAACGCCTCTCCTAGTGATCTGAGCCTTGACTATCTCCTTTCAAAGGAAGGAGGTTCTAAAAGGAAGAGGGAGAAACAAAATGTATAGAATTTTGTATGCACACCAATATAAGATAAAAACTAAAAAAAAAAAAAGAGAGAAAAGGAGGAGGGAAGGGTTTTACTTTGCTGCTCTTTGGCTTGTCCACGCTGACATCTCCTCACTTCCTACTGTTCCCAGCACTATTTGCCAAGGGTCCAGGGTTAGCCCTACTGCCCTTCCTTTCATGTCTGTTGGTGAGGCACAAGCACCTTTGCACATTCCAGCCATGGCCCCCTAAACCATGACCCAACTTAATAATCAGCCTTTCAGGGCCTGAACTCCTGGGGATTGCAAGGTGACTGATGAAATTCCTGGCTAGAGAAACAGATGCAGTGCACCCATCATCTCCTGTTTCAACAGGGACATAGCGATCAAAGAGGCCTGCGGATTGCATCAACCGCACGCTCCTTTCTGCTGTCCTGTAGACACCTAGTACAAATTCAGCCCTAGCTTCGATTTCTGCAGTTTGGGACCCAGGGTGAGGATATGTGACTACAACCTACAGAAGGGGCCAAGGGTCAGGGGTGAGAAGGGCAGTAGTGGTGGATGAGAAGGGTGGAGACTCACAGTGGTTTTCTCCAGGCAGTGCAGCAGGTGATGGTGCTGGCTCTCGATGAGTGAGGTGGCTTTGCCCGGATGCTCCTCCTCCGGGGTGCCCTGGGAAGAAGAAAAGAGCTGTTGAGAGCAGGATGAGAGATCCCCCCTTCTCCAGCGTCTTCATTCCTTCCCCTAAAAGTCTGGGTGAATCGGAGTTCAGAGGCAGTGTAGACTTGCTAGCATGTGGATGGGAGCTTCTGGTCTACAGCTGGGTTTGGAGCAGTGGAGATAACACCATAGAAGACACAGATGGGGGACCTTCCACCTGGGAAAGTGTGGAAACTTGTCTTTGTCAGGCTCAAACTGGGGTTGGGGGTAGCAGTGCTGGTGCCCCTTCCCTGACTGTTCCCCACACCCAGGCCCTCCCTGCAGGCACCTACCATCAGCTCCATGGCCTCATTGAGGAGCCCGTTACGCTTGCTGTGCAGGTAGGCATTGGAGCTGCCTGTTTTGGCCACGCGGATTCTGGCAAGACGGGCTTTCTGTGATGGGCAAAGACAAGAAGAGTGAGGGAGATTGAGACACAAAAAAGACAGTGGGTCTTTTAAACAGCTCTCTCCCTCATCTGTTTCAAAGCAATATCCATCATTCCTTCTCTCCTTTTCTGTCTTCCCTCAACCCTGATGTGAGTCCCATTTTATAAGAGTTTTTCTTTTTTTTTTTTTTCCCCAAGGAGAAGAGTGAATTGGGGAAAGGGGGTGAGCAGGGCGAGAAGTGCAATAATGAATAACTGGAAACCTTAAGTCTCTGTAAACTTTCATTTACATTAATAACAAAAAGAAAGTAAAAAAAAAAAAAAGAAGACAGTGGGTCTGGCAAAGTCAGTGAGCGTGGGTTGCTCCCATGGAGGTGGGCTGCCAGGCGATGTCAGAGGAAGGGCACGGGGCTGCTTCCTCCCAGACTCATGACTCTCTGGGTGCAGACCCAGATTGGACTGGAGACATTGTACTTCCCATTGTAAAACTGCACCCTGGCCAGAGTTCTTCTCTCCAGCTCGCATATAATCTTGGCAGGAGACATACTTCACCCAGCTTGCTCCTTCTCCCCTGTCTCACGACTTTTATAGACCCAGCCTCTCCCCCTGCTGTGGGCTATTCTTATTGGATTCTCACTGATCTCTTATGACCGTGAGCTCCTCAAAAGATCATATTCTCCTGATGCCCAGAGTTGTCAGGACAGGTGCTTCCATATATAGCCGGCTGGCTGGTGCCAGGTATAATTACAAGAATGACAAGGAGCGTGAACACCAGCCCCTTAACATTCTTAACTTTCTCCCTGCTTTTTACTCCTCAACCCTTGTCACTACTATAGTACATGTTCTATAGATTTATCTTACTCCTGTCTCCCTCCTGCACTTGAATGCAAATGCCTTGCAGGCAGGAATGTTTGTTTTGTACCGTGCAGGGCCTTGTGTTACTGTTGTTGCCTTCAAATAGATTTGGACTCATGGTGACCTCCTGTGTGTGGAGTAGAACGTGCTGTGTATTCTTTTCAAGGCCATGATCTTTCAGAAGCAGTTTGCCAGGCCTGTTATTTCAAATGCTTCTGGGTGGGTTCAAACTGTAGGCCTTTGAACTAGTCATAGCTTAACCTCTTGTGCCCCTCATGGACTCCTTATGCCCTTAAATATTTTAAAAAACTTTTAAATGGATTTATGGTGGCATGGCTGCCTTTGGGGTGGCTTCATGCATGAATGTGTCAATCCATGTCTATCTTGTCATGTGACAAAATGACCCAATGTGTATGTGTGAAAGGGACATCTCCATACACCAGGACAAGTGAACTTAACTAGGACAAGTGACACCTTCCAGCCCCAGAGCAGAGAACTTTTGGCAGGGAATGGCCCCTGAGGAGGGTTGCTGGGATCCCAATACGTGGCTCCTTCTGCTTTCAGAGGCAGTGGGAGCGGCTGGACACACTATATATGCTGACTGCTGTTCCCTTCCTAATGACCATAATCCGGGTAACCATGACAGCATCACAGCCAAGGAATGAAGGCTAAGAGAAAAGGTCTTTGGGAGAAATGGCTGGGAAGAGGGGGACCTGCTGGTTTTTAAAAATGGCACTTGGGCTTTGTTCTCAGGAGACCGAGACCCAGCTCCAGGCTCTTGCATCTAGAAGCAGATGAGTCCACTGAGACTCACAGACCCATCCTGGGGCTGAGGCTTCTGGGTAAGTCCACACGCAACCTCACCATGGCCCCTGAACAGAGAGGAGCTCTGGGAGAACTGCTACAATTTCCATTCCCTACCACCCTGTCCCCAACATGGGACAATAGCCTTTCCAAATGTGTTGAAGGGCTGGTTCATCTGTTAAAACAAAGTTTAGTAGTTTAGGTGGTTACCAGAAGCACCATGGGCCTACTTTTTCTCTTATTTCTTGGGAGTCCCACATTGGCCAGAGTCCCCTTGTAGGAACAATTCTACTTCCTTCCCTGTCTACCAAATACGGGGTAGAAGCCTATGACCAGAGCTTGGAAGTTCTGCTCATAAATCCAAGGAAAGATGCTTCTCCAGACGGAGAGACTTGAAAGAGGAACCAGGGGAAAAAAGGAGGCCAATCAGCCCTGCCATTCCTCTTCTCTCTGAGCAAAGAACGTTCATTCGGAATTCAGGTCAGTTCTCCTCCCTAGGAATCGTGTTCTTGCGCTCCCCTCAGCTAGATGTTTACATTCTAGCAAGTTACTCATCATTGGGAGATGTGGCTATTATTGCTTTGGGTGGGCACTGGGTGTTGAGAGCTGCATATGGAAATTCAATTGTGTCAAGCTCATTATAGCCTTATATAATTTGATTGCACCACTTAGAGCCAGACCTTTCTCGTATCTGGGGTCTGTCTTCATTACTTTCTAGAGATGAAAGATTCTCCTGTTCTCCTTTGTGGCACTTCTTTTAATCTTATCTTACCCTGGGCTCTATTAAAGCAACAGATTGTCATATCGAATGCACTAGTTCGTTTAATCATTTCCCCCACAGGATAAAGAGGTTTGCAATGTATTTCCAGAGCCATATCCAGCATTGGAAGTTTGATGGGGTCTTTGGCTTGACTTTGAGCACTGGCTAGATGGGAATGTGATTTTTATTTCTAGTATCTTGTACATGGCTTTGCACCAAGTAGGTGCTCAAGAAAAGCTTGTGATTGTCAGAGAAGGGAGATCATCATAAAGGTTGGTTAAGAAAGCTGGCGAGCTCTGGTGGCCTGGTGGCAAGAAGCTGCACTGCAATCCCAGAGGTGCATGGTTCAAATCCACCAGATGCTTTGCTGAAAAAGGAGGAACAATCATCTCCTGTACCAGTCAGATCTGATTTGATGGTACACACATAAATAATAATAATAATAATAATAATAATAATAATAATAATAATAAAGAAAGCTTACTACAAGCCACTGCAAAGGGCTCAACCCACATCTGTCTGTCAGTTTGTTGTACTATGGGAGCTTGCATGTTGCTATGTGTTGGAACCTGTGCTATTGGTATTTCAAATACCTGCAGGGATCACTTCTCAGCCTGTGGCTAAGATCAAGTGTAGAATACTTGCAGGGTCATCCGTGGTGCACAGGCTACACTTGAAATTTCAGACTAAGACAAACTGGTAAGAAAGGCCTAATGATCCATTTCTGAAAATTTGTCACTGAAAACCTTATGGGTCAGGACAGAACACTGTCCACATCACTGGCTTTGGACATGGCATCAGGAAGGATCAATGGCTAGAGGAACACATGGTATTTGGTAGAGCGGAAGGTGAGCGAGGACGAGGAGATCCTGACTGACATACACTGGCACAGGAGCTGCAGCAGTGGACCTGAACATGACCATGAGGGTGATGCTGGGCTGGGTAACTGTTTGCACAGGGTCACCATGAGTTGGAGTCAGCTCAAAGGCTCTATGGGACTCAATCCTAATGTAGACTGCTCAGCTTCACTCTCTTCAAGGTGTAATTCAGAGTTAAAAGGGAGCTTTGGGATCATCTAGATCACCTACAAACAAGACAACAGAGGAAATGCCTTATGAAAGGCAAGATGGGAGACTAGTAAGAAAGACTTGTACTCAGTTCTTGTAGCTCTCAATGCTCTTTCCATAACATCTTTTTCCTTCCCTGAATTCAGCGTTGGTCAGAAAAAAAATGTGAAACTTGGGTAAAGCTCAGGAAGTGGCATTTTCAACATGCATGGAGGCTTCAGGGTTAGAGGGAAGGCCTTGAAGGAAGATGTTGTACCTGGAGTACAGTCCCAGGGGCAGTGACTATTTGAGACCACAATCCCACCAGTCTCTGAGGAGCCTTTCAGAATTAGCAATTCCTGACTGTTGGCTGGCAAGTGCCCTTTGGCTGTGAGTATTTATGTCTCATAAGGAGAAAGTGGGAGAAATAAAAAGGTTAAAGAAGACAAAGATTCTCACCACTGGACCAATTGGCAGCATCAGGATGGATGGCGAAGAGATTGAGATTGTTCACAGCTTCAGTTTGCTCGGCTTCACAGTCAACACTCTTGGCACCAGCAGCCAGGAAATTAAAAGAGGTATTGCCATGGGAAAGTCTGCTGTTAGGGACCTCTCTAAAGCACTCAAGAGCAACAGTGTGTCTCTGGAGACTAAGGTGCGTATGGTACAGGCCATGGTCTTTGCAATCACTTGTTATGCATCAGAGAGCTGGACAATGACCAGGGAGGACAGAAGGACAACTGATGCTTTTGAGCTTTGGTGTTGGAGAAGAGTGCTGAGGGTGCGATGGACTGCTAAGAAAACAAACAGATTCATCCTGGATAGGGTTAATTAAACCGGGCTGCTCCTTGGAGGCAAGGATTCTGAGGCTTTGTCTGACATACTTTGGTCATGTTGTAAGGAGGGGACAGGTCATTGGAGAGGGACATCACGCTTGGGAGGGTGGAGGGCAGGCGCAGGAGGGGAAGGACCTCTGGGAGATGGACTGATTCGGTGACTGGGGCAATCGGGATGAGTGTGTTGGAGACAGTGAGATTGGCACAGGTCAGAGCAGAGTTTAGAGCTGGTGTATATAGGGTCGCTATGAGTCGCAAGTGACTCGACGGCACATAACAACAACAACAACAACAACAACAGCAAAGAAAACTTTAGTGATTTCACTCCTGCCCATCTAGAACAGAAAATGAAGACTTATGTTTGCACAAAAACCTATACATAAGTGCTCAGAGAAACTTTTTTGTAACAGCTCCAAACTCGAATCATTTCAAATGTCCTCCCACAGGTAAACTGTTAAACTGTGGTCCATGGAATTTGCACTCAGCCATAAAACTCCTCCTTCTCCTCATTGCTGTCTAGCTGGAACAGGCTCTCTCCTCACTGCTGTCTGGTCAGAACAGAATCATAGCTAATCCTCCAGTAAGTATTCGGAGGCTGTAACTAGCATGAGAGGAGATTGCTCATCTTTCCCCTTCAGAGCAGCTGGCGGATTCGAACTGCTTGCCTTTGGGTTGGCAGTGCAACATTCTACCCACTAGCCCACCA